CCTCGCTTAAAGTTAGTGAGCACCAGACGGTTACCAATAAACCATTACAAAATAACATTGGTCTTGTTGACGCACAAGCAAATTTGGACAAGTTCTTCRTATCTGGTGAGATGACACCATCGCCGGAGTCRTTATCATCAACGAACAAGATCAATACGTTGACAACAACTTCGGCTTACGGCAAGGTCACGAAGGTGGTTAACCTGGAAGCTGGTGCGGTGGMCGTTCAAGAAACTCTCMATGTTGAGACAATTCCAACGATACTCGAAATTCATGAGGAGAGTAAAGTTTATGCGGGTAACCAAAATTCGCAATTTCCAAAAYTTCAAAATATTCAAGACCAGCAACAATCCTCATCCTCTATCCAACCTCATTTGGATGAGCTGTTGCAGCAACCTAATCGGACACAAATAAAGCAACAGCAATCACAAGGACGATTGCCACATCAAAAACAAAAACTACAACTACAACAATTGCAACAATATAAATATATCCCGGCAGAGCAGCAAGTTCAGCAAGAACGACAATATCCACCAACGCTACAACTGCACCGGCCAAATCTTCAGCAGCAACCACAACAACCACTTCATCCCCAGCCAGCACAGATTCCGTATCAGCAACAAGGCACTCCCCAGCAATCGCAAACGCAGCTGCAACAACAACAATGGCTGATGCAGCAATTGCAGCAACCATTTCTTGGCAACGCGAACAGGGAAGAGAAACTCACCAGCATTTTGGCTYTAGCTGCTGCAGCGCTGAGCAATAATCCGTTCAACTTGCAACAATTTCTTAATGCCACTGCAAGCACCATGCCACAAAATGGCCAGTATAATTCCGTTCAGAGCAATACGCAGCAACATCCGCTGCASSCGTCKCCGCCGCCTCCTCCGCCTCAACAACACAATCAATTTGTACCGGCTCAGCAACAGCCACCACCGCAACAACAAGACGATTCATCTCAATCACAATTCCAACAACAATCTAATGAYGCCACGAATAGTAACGATAAACCGTTGGTGGGCGAGGCCGATGCAAAGAATAACAGTAATTGCGACACGCGTGGAGAG